CTGGGGTTAACTATTCGAAAAATGAATCCAAAATCTGAGTATTTTTCAGTTTTACACTGACTTAGCTTTATAGTCGAACCAGTCAATCTTTAGACAAAATTATAATGAACACAGAAGTAATTTTAACATAAATATTTTACGGAATCCGTTCCTGAAATATACAAATAATAACCTACCAAAAGCCCGAAAAAATCTAATCAGGGGAACATTGTTCATTATAAAGATATTTAATGGGTTAAAATCAAACGTTTTATTGCACAACTGCTCTGCTGGAAGCGTATAAATGCATGTCGTTGCCAAGTTGTTGCTAACGAAAAAATGTGAATTATAGGGTAATACGCCCGCGCGCGATCCAAAAGCGGGGAACACATAGGTTTGTCGCGTCAAAGGGATCTGTTGCCGAGTGATCTCCTTCTCAATATTACCTCCATGTTCAAAGTATAAAAAAAAAGCACAATAATATTGAATCTGGCTATTTGAGTACAGGCCTATGGTATAGTATCCTAGATTTGACGATGCCTCTATAGTACTGATTCTGAAGGGTATAAACATGTTTTGTCTTTATTTTTTTGTGTATGCTCTACTATCTTGAGAAGAAGCTTATGCTATCTTGAAAAGAAGACCATGGGCTTCTTTTCAAGGCTAATTTTGCAAACTAAAGAGGGAGGCTTCAATTCCTTTGGCCTACCCTACTAATTACTATACGACGTAGCTTATGTTTTTTTTGTAATGCAACCTATTTCAGCTTTTGCTCTCAGTTTGTATTTTTGTATTTTATACCGAAATAAATAAAAAAAATAACATTTATATTTCACAAGCAGCTAGCAAGCACTGCTTTTGCGACTCGCAATCTTGCATATTTATGTTGTCAGTTGACTTAAATGATCTTAAATAGCACCCTCTATTATTTCTGCCTTAACTGTATGGGAAAAAAAATAATGCACCTTGGCCCAAGTCAACTCACTCAGCCCCATGTCAATTCGGCCCCAAATATCAGCTTGGCCCCAATTCAACTCTGTCAAAAACCAACTACTCCACAGTATTCTGCCCCCCCCCCCCTTTTGTTTTTGTTTTTTGCTGACCACTATTTAGATTTAAACTAGGCCTAGGGAAGTCCTCTCCTATAGTTACAGTAGGCCTATTGTAGGCCTATGCCACTGCCAGCTAGGGTAGATCTCAATCATTTTCAATTGAAATGACACTGCATCAGCTGTGTACACTACACAAACATTAAATAACTTGTGGATGATTAATTTTCTCTTTGTTGTTTTAGTCTCATATAATGGCAGCTAAAGCTGTAGCAAACACACTCAAAACATCACTTGGACCAAAAGGTGAGAACAAAGGCTTCAAATGAACCGGTCAATTTCAAATCATGATATGAATACTATCTACTCTAATATTAGGCAAGAATGTTTACCTTGTTTGCGAACCGCTGCTCGGCAATAAAGAGGATTTTGAATAAAAATAACAATTTATTTTTGGCCAATTACTTGCCCCCACAAAAAAATGGAAATTTCAGAAAAGAATACAAATTTTTATTTGTTTTTTTTACGCCTGCTGCTGCCTTAAAATCTCGAAAACCAGATATAGTATGTATTTCTTCACTAAATATGAATTTAAAGCATTTAACCATCCTATTAGTACACTGTTTACATTCACCAGTAAAATTTATTTTCTACTTCGTCTGGATGTTTTTGTCTATTGTATTTGCAAAATTAGAAAAAATTTTATTCCAATTTTAATTTTTTTTTTGTTCCCTCCTTGGATAATAAATAATAATAATAATAATGATAATGAGGTACTTGCATATTTCACAATACAGTATTTGCATATTGTGGTATATGCTGTCACAATGATGTTTGCACAGAGAGTAACTAATATGTCAAAATATTTAATGAATACACTAAACCAGAAATGAAATTATAGATGAAAAAGTACTCTGAAAATCTTCCCCCTCCCCACCACCACAACCAAAGAAATATAATCAAAAACATTACACAGGAATCCATTTAATTTTTAATGGTGCACCTTAATTTGATTCCTCACCACTAGAAAAGGTAAAAACGCTTTCTTGCTTTGTGTTTTGTTGTTAAAGATAATTAAAGAAAGCACTGGATATTGATTTTAAACACAAATCTAGTTGGTACAGCTGGCTAGACCCTAAAGTTTAAACTTTAGACTCGCTCTCTTAATGCAATATGACATGTCGGAACACTATCCATTCTCCAAAAAAAGGTGTTGGTACTAGGCATTTAGTTACCATGGTTTTTTTTTTTCTTCTTTTTTTTCCATTTGTAGGTTTAGATAAGTTAATAGTGAGCCCTGATGGTGATGTAACGGTAACAAATGATGGCGCCACAATTCTTGCACAGATGGATGTTGAACATCAAATAGCGAAATTGATGGTAGAACTGTCCAAGTCACAGGACGATGAGATCGGTGATGGCACTACCGGGGTAGTAGGTAGGGCCATCTTCTAACTTTTTTTAACAAGTGATGCAAAAAATACATGGCACCCCCCCTCCCCCTTTTATTTTTAGGTCATGTGTGACTGTATCCTGTATGGAATTGTGTACATACTTATTAACTTGGCTGCTTTTCATCGTGCTTTTATTTTTATTATTGTAGGCATGATGACATGAACTTCAATATAAATGCATTGCATCATTTCATACTAAACATTAATTAATTGACATAAATATTTAATGTAATTTAGTGGGTTTTCCACATTATACCGATGCCTCAATGCACTTAACAAATGATAAAAAGTGTTGAAAAAACAACTCCTATCGTAACCCAAAAAGCTATTTAATGCTGAGTGAACAGGAAAACCAAACATCACTGTATCGTTTGCCCGCAATTTAACACCATTGACAAGCAATGGTTGACTGGGACATAATTCACAGATGCCCTCATGATGTAAGGCAACTACTGTATCTAATCAAGTCTACAGTACTCAAAGAGTATAATAACTAGTCTTATGAGAATAAATAAATATTTATACCTGCCCATGTGTTTTAGTTATATTGTGTATATTTCATTATACAGTATTTTATTATAAGGTATTAATTATTTTATTTATATTATATTAAGTTTTGGCTGGTGCTTTGCTTGAACAAGCTGAACAGCTATTGGACCGAGGCATCCATCCAATTCGCATCGCCGATGGTTACGAGTTAGCATCTCAAATTGCCAGTTCTAGACTAGACGCCATTGCAGAAAGCTTTGAAGTAAATAAGGATAACATAGAACCACTTGTAAAAGTAGCCATGACAACATTAGGTTCCAAAATGTAAGTATATTTCAGAAATTAAAACATAATTAAAATATAATTTCCCTGTTAATTTTCTCTTGGTACATTTCAAGTTGATATTTTGTCTGTTAGCATGTTAATGTTATTAACTCAATGTATAAACAATATACAAAAGTCCATTTTCAGGAGATTATAAAGCAGTTTAAAAGTGATGCTTTGCATGGCAAACAGGATTCCTAGTCGTGCTTTGTGAATGCATGATTAGACCAAACACCATGCTAGATAAATGCACCAAGAACCATTGTCGGGCAGTCTTCTATGGGCCCTGCATACTGATTATGGTGCTACAATCATAATTGATAAGACATAAAGACAACTTTATATTTAAACTATAATCTATAAATATATATAAATAAGAGATACTGTCATAGTCAGCAGCATATTAGGATTCCATCAAATTTCTTTGCAAGTTAAGGGGGAGAGGAAGAGCTGGATCTGGCAGCACTTATTCACTGCCATTGTCTTGTGTGTTGAGCCTAACATTATCGTGGCCATTTTCAAGGGGGCAGAGAAGGCAGTACCAACTTAACCTCCTTTACAAGAAGAGCGTAAATGCAGAGGATAAAGAGGCAAGAGAGCAAAAATCTAAGCAAAGGGTACTGCGGGAGACATGACCTTGCAGGGTTTGTTGCAAAAAGCTTCCATTTTCATATACATAGATGCGGTGACTGAATCTTTGCAAAATGGGTGCAACTTGTGTTCAAGAGTGTGATCATCTGAGTTTCTACTATGTATGTTAATTATTGGAGCTAAAAGAACCAAAAATTAATATGAAGCATGTATCAGTATATTATTAGATTGTGCTTTAAAACACAACAACAAAGATATGTACTTGTAGAAATTTTCAATGTTAAATCTAATTCATGTTCATGTTTTCAATCTACTAGCATCAATAGATGTCACAAACAAATGGCAGAGATTGCTGTCAAAGCCATCATGTCTGTTGCAGACTTTGAAAGGAAAGATGTCGACTTTGAGCTAATCAAAGTGGACGGTAAAGTTGGAGGCAAACTAGAAGACACGATGTTGGTAAAAGGAGTTGTAGTGGACAAAGATTTCAGTCACCCACAGATGCCAAAGGTAAAGATTTTACATTTTTTCGCATCATGTTTTCTGATTTATCAACCAAGACTGATCATTTGGAATTCTTGGTACTATGTAGTCCATTTAACTCAATTCAACTCTGGTTTATTTTTTAAATGGTGTAGAATTTACTGAATTGCAGCAAATGTTACAATAATTTTCTCCAGGTTTCTGTTCAAGGCTTTTGAATACGAGTATGTATTTGGTTGTGAGAAAATCCCTGACTATCATAAATGATTTAGTTCTTTCCTTGCAGGAAATCAAAGATGCAAAGATGGCCATCTTGACATGTCCTTTTGAACCCCCAAAACCAAAGACCACGCACAAGCTTGACGTTAAATCTGTTGAAGATTACAAGAAACTCCAAGCCTATGAGAAAGAGAAATTTGCAGAGATGATCAAACAGATAAAGGATACCGGAGCGAACCTGGCAATTTGCCAATGGGGCTTCGATGATGAAGCTAATCATTTGCTACTACAGAATGAACTGCCGGCCGTTAGATGGGTTGGTGGTCCAGAAATTGAGGTACTTTCTTCTAATACCGTACTAATTAGTAGTAGCCTTAACATATTATTTTACCAGAAAATGTACAACATGGAACTTGGGTGAGTGTGGTGCAAAGCTAATCTGGTAACTCATGAGTGTTCCTTGAACATAATGCCTCCATTAGCGTGGTATTAATATTGCTTTTAGCCTTTAATTTGATTTATTCAATGTGTTGATGCATGAATATTTCAGAACGATCTGTCATAGTTTACCAGTATTAATCTTGCAATAATAAAGAGTGAAATATGCATGGCTATCGGAATTCCTGGTCAGTTGACATCAATGACTTTTCAGGCTAGAGTCCATGCTAGAGAAACCATCGGCCTGAACCATTGTCGGGTCACCTACCGTAGATCCTGCATACTGATGTGGCCGAAATAAAATTATATCAATAGTACATGGTGTAATTTATGTTATATTAAATAATGAAATAATAATTAATGTCTGTATGCATTTCAGTTAATTGCTATTGCGACTGGTGGACGAATTGTGCCCAGATTTCAAGAACTGACGGCGGAGAAGCTAGGCACAGCTGGTGTTGTAAGAGAGATGTCTTTTGGTACAACTAAGGATCACATGCTGGTTATAGAAGATTGTCCCAATACAAAAGCAGTCACCATTTTCATCAGAGGAGGGAATAGAATGGTAAGTCGGAATGTCAGCTGATAAACTAATATTAGTAAGGGCACCATAGCTCAGTTGGCTAAACTGATGGTAGCTACTGATTCGTTGTTATGACTAAAGGCGGGCACACACTGCGCCCAATGGTTGTTGTTGCGATTCTATGAAGAACGCAATGCCACGAAGCGCGCAACTGATCGTCTTTAATGATGGTCTGTTCAGACGACCACTGACAGTCAGTTGAGGGCATTGCATCGCGTTCACAGGGAGCGGACTTTGTTGTACTGCGCAGTGACTGCACAGATTTAAGCAACGGCGCTTACCCTGAGTGAACTATATTTATATTTTTTCACAAGGTATTTTTATGTATGTAGTTAAAATGAAGAATGTCAGACCATGCATGGCAATCGGAATTCCTGGTTGGTGATTATCAATGACTTTTCAGGCTAGAGTCCATGCTAGAGAAACCATCGGCCTGAACCATTGTCGGGTCACCTACTGTAGACCCTGCATACTGATGTGACTGAAACAAAAACCTATCATATATACTGTAGCAAAGTAAATATTCCTATTAACTTGCAGTACACTTTTTTTTTTTTATAAGAACACATTTTATAAGAACACTGAGGCTGAAATTGCTTGAAAATTAAGAACAAAATAAGAACAAATTGAGGCTGAGGTAGAATGTCAAACTAGAAAAACCAAAAAAATATATCTGTACCTTTAATGTGCAGTAGGTGTGACTTTGTAATACCCTCTATAATACAGTACAGTAGGTGTACCTACCTCCCATTTGGGGCCATTTTTTGTGGGGCCGTTTATTGCTGGGCCTTTCATTCAGGGGCCATTTTTTGCAGGGCCGCTTTCACCTCCCAGTACAGTGTATACTGCTGTACATTAATAATTTTCTATGTTTGAAAAGTGTGTAAAATAAGAACAAAATAAGAACATTTTGAAATTGGCCAAAAAATAAGAACACTGAGCCTAGGCAAAATTTTACTGGTGGTTATAAAAAAAAAATGTGTAGTTTAGTATTACTGATTTAATAGGTTGCATTATATTTTTGCCGTCTCTACGCAGATTATAGAAGAAGCAAAGAGAGCGTTACATGATGCTCTTTGTGTCACACGTAACCTGGTCCGTAGCAATCATATAGTGTATGGTGGCGGAGCAGCAGAAATTGCCTGCGCATTGGCAGTAAGTGAAAGAGCCGACAAGGTAAGATATCTTTAAGAATCATGTTTCCATTTACTAAGATGTGTATAAGAGACAGCCATTTAACTCAATTCAACTCTGGTTTATTTTTTAAATGGTGTAGAATTTACTGAATTGCAGCAAATGTTACAATAATTTTGTCCAGGTTTCTGTTCAAGGCTTTTGAATACGAGTATGTATTTGGTTGTGAGAAAATCCCTGAACTTAGTTCTGTTACAGTTAATGGAACAAAAAATGTTTAAAATATTCGAAAGACCTTTTAGGAGTCAAACTTGCCAACTGACCAATCAGAACAAGCCTAGGAATGCATGTGTGTGCATATGTTTTTGCAGTCATTTTGTGGGACCTCAGCAACAATATCCGAAGGGCAGAGCTTAGCAGAAAGGTCAATTGCATCATAATAGCAACATATTAATGATAATTTGTATTTCTGATAGATATCAAGCATAGAGCAGTATGCGATGCGGTCATTTGCAGATGCTCTAGAGAGCATACCAATGGCGCTGGCTGAAAATAGCGGCCTTCATCCAATACGTACGCTGGCCGAGGTGAAGTCTAAGCAGCTGAAGGAGAATAACCCACGCCTAGGAATTGATTGTCTCAACTCTGGTACAAACGGTAAGGAATGCATTCATTAGGCTCTGTCCACACTACCAAGTTACCAAATTAGGGGCATACTGTTGTGTGCTCATATATAGTCATGATGTGCCTATATATGGTCATGATGTGCCTATTATATGGTCATGATGTGATGTCATCATTACCATATTTAAGCATGTCATGTTTTTGTTCAAATAAAATTTGATAGTCTAGACTGCACTAAATCAAATTTTAGTTGGTCAAAAAAAATGTGATATGCCCGTTTTTTCCTAGTCATGATGTGATGTGGAGAGTCGAAAGGGCAAGCATGATAAGGCAGGCATGTTGCAACTCGCAGCAGCCAGTGCTGGTTCGAATGGTGCACACTCACCTATAGTTCTGGTGACAGAACAAGCCTTCTCGGATAAGGACTCTAAACCCTAGTTTCAATGTACATAATAGGCTCGTGTGCACTTTATAAATAACCCAGTACATCCTTCGAGAATAGTGCAGGGTTACCCCGGTGGACTGGTTTATTCAGCCCATCAATTGCTGAGTGATGAAAGTGTGCCTCTTGGCAGCTGATTAGACATGCAACCCAGATTATGGTGCTAAATTCATAATTACCAAAAAATCTCTCTTAATTTATGTCCTAGTTCTAACTCGCCTTGCATTGTTAATGCAGGGGTTAATGGGCCACAAAGTGGTTCACTTTAGTTTTAGCACATGGTGACCACAATGCATTGTATATAATTAATATAGTGTTCACCCATTACCTAGAATTTGCTTTCAGGCCTTTTTTGAATTTCAATAAAATACGGGAGGAAAAAATGAACCCAAAATGTATTAGAAGATTATGGTATTATCCTGTAAATAAATTACTGATGTCTTTTTACAGATATGAAAGAGCAGCATGTTTTGGAGACGCTGATTGGTAAAAAGCAACAGATTCAACTCGCAACACAATTGGTCAGAATGATACTCAAGATCGATGACATCAGGTCTCCGGCAGAACAGTATTAACTTAAAACATAAGAATATGTACCTAGAAGCAGATGCTGCATATGTGCTTGGTTTAAAGGGTTTGCTGGTAGCTCTTTGTAGAAAGGTGTTGTTTTGACGCAGATTGTACTCCCTTCCTTTGGTACCATTGCGCACTTGTAAATGTCATGGTCCACCTCTTGCTACTATAGTTTACAATGTGAATGAGTATTTCATTATGAGCAGGGGTAATGTCGTGTACTGAAGTTATTGTGACTTGATAAGTGTTCTGAAGCTATAAAATTATCAAACTTTTGATATGCAGTAAACGTTGCAGATGACTAATAAGAATCATCATGATTGATGTTGTATTTTGTTGTCGTAAATATGTTGCTAGGCAGGTTGCCAATGCAAGAAAGAAAAAAGTATTCTGCATGTAAGGAGTTGGTAAAGTAGGGGCGCTTCAATTTTTTTTTTTTACAAGTTATAGGTCAGTAAAAACCACAAGCATCTGCTTCAGTTTTACTGGAATATTAAAATCATAAAGCATCCATTAATTTCTCATACATGTATCCTAACAAGCATGTTGATAATGTAGTAGGAGAGAGATCTAAGAAAGAGGACAAATGCTCCTTAAATTTCCAATGAAGTAGAGTGTAATTTACTTCATGTTAAAGGACATTCAATTGAACTCACTGTTATTGTATCTCATGAATGCATTGCTGACAGCTATGGTAGACATGTGCAATGAATAAACTAAACCAGTTCACTAAATGGAATTTTTTATTTCTTTTCATATGTTACAGTCTGTTGTCTTCACATTAAATCGGACAAATGTTTAAAGGCAGACCCATATCCAGTGGAGTATGATGGGTGTGAATAAAAAATTATAAAGATGACACAAAAACAACATTGCAATAGGAAGAGAGTTCACATTGCTATGTAATCGTTGAGAATAATTTAAATAATTACCATGGATGGATGTGTAGATTGCAAAATGGACAGGCACATTCCAGAATAGAGCAACAAAAGGGAGTCTTAAATATTTACATTTTAACAAGCAGTCATACGTATTGTTAATGTATTTGAAAACTTCTCTCCTGTAGATGAAACTGAGGAACAGTAAAATAATATCTAGAATTCCCAATAAAACTAATTCTCTTGATCCACTCCCCACGTGGCTGTTGAAGGAATGTTCTGAAATTGTGACCCCTATAATTGTGTCCCTTGCAAATAATTCCTTCAGTGCTGGTTTTTTTCCTTCCATTCTTCGGGAAGCTATTATAACTCCTCGCATTGCAAACCCAACCAATGACAAGGACTTGTTCAAAAACTAACGCCCTGTGTCCAACATCCCAACTCTTGGCAGAATACCCTGGAGTTTCAAGATTTAACGAGCATCTTCTGTCAAACAACCTTTCTGAAGGATTTCAGTTTGCGTACCAGTCGGCCCATAGCACTGAAACTGCTCTTCTGTGAGTTAAAAATGACATCGTAAATGAATTGGGTGATGGTAGCGTTAGTCTAGTAGGAACGAGGATTCCCATGAACCCCCAGGATATATTTTTTAACTAACTTTTTTGTAATCCTCAAAGTATCTGATGAACGATTTTTTTTCCCCATGGGGTCATTTGGTGCCATTTTGGCGGCCAACTTGGGTTTTAAATGAAAATAATAATAATAATAATAATAATAATAATAAATTTCTAAATGTATATAGTAAAGCAGTGTTTAAGTTAATACAAAACATTGACCTCGTATTTACATTTGACGGCCATATTGGCGGCCATCTTGGATTTTGAATGAAAATCAATTATTTGCATAATTTATTAAACAAAAATCATATACAATCAAATAAATCTCTAAATGCATATAGTAAGCAATGTTCTCAATACAAAAAATTAATAATAATAATAATAATAATAATATGTCGTTCTTATATAGCGCCTTATACAAGGCCTTTAAGCGCTTCACATTTACTACCCCGATCATTGGATCAAACACAACACATTGAAACACCAAATTAAATTAGTAAATGAAATTATATTATCTTTCCATAAATTGCAGCTAGTAATCAGCGCAGGTTGTGTTGGAACCTACCATGTACTCATTTGTACTCCTGGGTGGAGAAAGGCAACCGTAGATAAAGTGTCTTGCCCAAGGACGCAAGCGATTTGCACAGCCAGAGTTTCGAACCCCCGACCTCAAGGTTGGGAGTCAAAGCCACAACCGGTGCGCCAACCGCTCCTATGACTTCTCAATACATTTGGCGGCCATATTGGATTGTCAATGAAAATTTTTAATTTGTATAATATATTAACTAAAAATCATATAAAATCAAATGAACCTCTACATATATAGGCCTATGGTATAAACACTGTTTATTTTCTCAATACAAAACATTGACTTCGTAATACATTGCCCAGTCATTTTGGCAGCTATATTGGTGGCCAAAGCGGCCATATTGTCATATTAAATGAACATTGATTACCGTATAACATTTCACCTATATTATACAAAGAAAGAAATAACCGATTTTATTCAGAACAATGGTGGGTTAATTAAGAGGTTGGGTCCTCTTATCTATTTGGTGCGTGTTGCGGGAGCCCTACATTATTGTCATGCCGACCATCTGTTGGCTAGTGTTCCTGTCAATGACGTAAGTGGGTATACTCCAAGGGAAGTTCATGAGAAGCAGCGGGATCCACATGTGGTGACACCCTGTGCCTTTGCCAACGCAAAGTTCCACACTCTGTGAAACTCCAATGGTGGTCGAAAACACCAGAGTGATCGTGAACAGGTTGACAAAGGTCAAATAGTCATACCAGCTCCAGGGCCGGCGTTTTTCAAAGTGAGAGGGAGGGGGTGGGGGACTTATAAGATGAATGGGAATATGAATCATGCAGATCTGGAATCAAACCTAGTGGGTGGGGGTCAACATTTTTCCCAAAAACGAAAGGGAGTTCCTTTCTGAAATATACTTACATACATATATTATGATCACAACATTTTTGATCAAAAAATTAGCAAATTTAGCTATAGTCCAATACACAAAATTTACGGTATTGTTAAAAACTTTCCAAAATAAAAATTAAGCCATTGGTTTGCACAACATGTGTCATTAAAAACTAGAACTGTGGTATTAACAAAAAAATTGAGAATTAAAACTTATAAAAACACCAAAAAATGACTGTGATTATTTTCTTACAACAGTGTAGTAATTTACAGGAGTGATGTTTTGCCCTACCTGACGTGTTATCGTACCGAATACTCGGTACATCCCCAAATACTAGCAATGAATACGATCCCCAACTAGCAGCGGCTACTGCAAGTGCTATTAAGATGTGAGTGATGTTTTGCCCTACCTGCCATGTTATCATACGGAATACTCAGTTCGTCAGATGGGAATCGCCCACGATCTCCAGGTAACTAGCCTGATGTCTTAACCACTAGACCACCGAGCTTGCGTTTGGTGGCTAGTGATGAATCCGAACTTTAAGTAGCAGCGGGTACTGTAAGTGCTATGACATCAGAGTTTGCGTCAAGAAAATATCATAGGAGTGATGTTTTGCCCTACCTGATGTGTTATTGTACCGAATACTCAGTACGTCCCCAAATACTAGTGAAAAATTTACAGGTGATTCAGGTGGGAATCATTATTTGGATTGGAAACTTAATTGATTCCATTAATTTATCCCTGTTTTAATGAATGTGAAGTGGCTTTGTCAACCAGACTTAAAAACTCTTAATTAAATTCCGTTGGCAGCAAACCTGGCATCATAATAATTGTGTGTCTGGTTAGCCACAGTGATACTAGGTATCCCAATGAGAAAATTCAATTTCATTATTTTGAATTTTGTAAACATTAGATCTACAGAACTCACTCCACTGATCATTTTCCAGTTTAAATTATTATAATCCAATATACCGTTCAAAGGTTATGGCCCTTTAAAAATGGTGAAAAAGGGGAAAAGAATGTGAAAAAGTGGGTCTTTTTTCCAGACTGATTTTGGAACATTTTTGGAGGGCTTTAACTTTGAAAGTAATAACATAAAATGTCTAATTTTCACAAAACCCCAAGATCTTATGGAGTTTTATGTGTGTGTTTTTTTTCTGGGTCATTTTTTAATGCTTTTGAAAACGTCATCTCAAAAAAGGGTATGTGCTCCGATTATACAGTAAATTTGACCAAGTAGAAATAAATGTCGGATTCTAATATTATTTAAAATATAAATGATAATTTAACTAAAATTCGACCACAGTTTAACTGGTTTAAGAATTAATGAAGATGAGAGAAGAGCAGGAGAAGAGACCACATATGGAGCGTAGGCCACGCTAGGCCTCCGTTGTTCTATGTTGAGCGCTTTTCGCGATCACACTAGGACCAATCTAGGGACCGGGCTAGGCTAAAAAGATGCATCAACATTTTATCAGTTCTCTAAAGATCGTAACCTTGTACATGGACAATAATCTTAAACCTACTAAAAATGCTAAGGTAAATTGGTGTTACATATGCTGGCCTAAATATTAAGTTGAGTCTGGTCTGTCTATATTTATTATCTCGCAAGCGCACGACGGCTATGTTTACTCACAATATCACATCTCACCGGGGTCTACATACGTACAGATGATTCATCTTCTAGCCTACTGTAAGTTCTATTTTAGGTCCTCCAAATCAAAAGACGGATATTTGGTTGAATATTAAAATTTGGGTAAAGAGAATAAACTTGACGCGCTACTAAACATTAATCAGTATGCCTGTTCATTTTTTGTTTGTTTAAGTAATGAAATGTTTGTGTACATAGTTCGGGTGCTCAAATTAAACATAAAGTAGGCCCTACATTGAAACACAAATTGTATGTGTCTTTATTTAAAATATTTTTGTACCCGGTATTGTCAACAAAAAACATACAGTAATCTGTCGATTCTGAAATGAAAACTTTTAAAAGTGAAATCTGGCCAATTTTCTGCAAAAAAAATTTAAAAGTTTTGCATTCTGATGGCACCTACAGCTGCTTTAAAAAAAAGGTGATTTCTTTTTATTATTCAAAGTCTCGCTATTCATTTGGTTTGAAGTTTAGATAGAAACGCCTCTAGACATTTCCAATTGTTCCATATTCATCATTTGCATATTTTATCATAATATATTTTAACACGTTTAGTAGCCTCTATTTTTATATGGAATATAAAGTACTTCAAGATAATACTAAATGTTCATTAAAATCACTAAAAATTATTTTTAAAAATAAGGCAAAAAAAAAAAAAAAAAGAAGCAATTTCGCTGTACAATGTACAATAATACAATAAGTAGGCCTACTGTATCCGCGTTGATTGCTTCTGCAGGTAATAACACAAATACCATACGTACAATTGAACCAAATATATTCTAATCACAGGCAAAATTTAATCATCTGACTCTCTCCCTGACGGGTTCCGGGGTCGACGAGGCTTCTTGTCGGTAATACGCTGGTAACCCTCCACTGAGTCTGGGTCCGGGCCTTAGCGAAGGCCCGAGACTTGGCGAGGTTGAGCTTAGCCTTGCGGCATCGTATGATATGATAGCTTGGCGGTGATACTTGACAGGACTAGGCGATTAACAGACTGCAGGGGAGATGCACAGGCACTCGGGATGTCTATGCTAGGTTCAGTGCATCATCATGGCTTAGGGGTTGTACTGCTTCCTCCCTCCATTCAGTTGGCTGGGGCCGAGCAAGTAGCTCTATCGTGCATCTAAGTGACCAGCGTACGAAGAGCGAAAACTTGAATACTAAGGA